GAGTAATGTAAGCGGTAATTCCTAAAGGTTTATGGGATATGTTGGATTGGTTTATATATATAACATTTATTTCACATAGTTTAAACAATTAGTGTAGAAAAAATAGCCAGGCGGAATTAGACATATACATTTAATGGGCATAGGGCTCTGGAAACTACCGTTCATGTTGAGTACCGGGCCTACCTTTAAACTGCTCAAGTAAGCTGTACAGGACATATACAGTACAGTACAAATACAGACAATATAAGACAAAAAGAATCAACACACAAGAATAAATACATGTCCCAAGTAGGGTTTCCAGCAAACAAAAACTTTCCCGAAAATTTTCGTTCGTATTTCGCAAACTTTTTTTGAAAAAAATTAATCTGAATAAATTCTGTAGGTCGTCTCTGAAGTTTTATCTTTTGTACGGTGAAAACTAGAAAACAATGGAATAGAAAGACGACATTGTAGCCATACTGTTTTGATGTTGTTACAAATACTAGTAATTTATCAAAGCACAATTTAAGTGAATAGGGTCTATTTACGCTGTCAATTGCTATGTTGATGTTTATTGAAATGGCTTAAGTCCTAACTTTAGTTTAAAAGTCGTCTTCCTATTTCAGAGTTTTCTGGTTATCTCTGTAGGTATTCCTGTAGTGTACAGAGCAAATAAATATATCAAATATCCCCGTTATAGTAAAAAATATAATTTATCTTTCCAAAGTTTTCCAAAATTAAATTTTCAACTTTTATGGAATTTATTTTGAAATATTTGAGTTTAGAGGAATTTTTGTAATACAAATAGTTGAGGAGGAGTAGAGGGGGGGGGGAGGGGGAAATTATGGATAGGCATGTCAGTGCTTTTTCAATCCGCTTGTTATCAGATGGTGAAAAAACAAAAATTCTGTTCTTTTCCCAGCTCCCAAAAAATACGTTTATGGATTCTTTCGATACGAGTAAAGGTATAGCGGTATCCATTGAAAAGTAATCATTTCGTTTCGAATGAAATTTTTAATTAATTTAAAAAAAGATTTTTTTTAAATTTTGCCCAACCCTAGATGGAAGTTGTTGTTTTGTTAGTACAGGGATTCTAGATAAATTCTTTTTTAAAGTGACGATTTTCCAAGACGAAGAAACATCCTTTAGAAAGTTTTTCCACCATATCTTTATTTTATTCATTACATCTTATTTTTTTTCAATCATCTGCTAGTAGACTAAAAAAATCTTCCATTATACTTGGGTATAAAATATAAACTAGAAGACGTAAGAGGACACAAAGCCATACAAGTAATGTCGCAGATAATTGATCTTTTCCTTCCAGTTACTGGATTGGGATTATTAATACTTGCTTTTTTATGCATTGATTTGTAAATATATATCAAAATCCTTATTAACAATTTTGACTTTTTCAAAATAACATATTTGTGTAATGCGTGTCACAATCAAAGAATTCTTACAGTTAAAAAATCTTACTTTTTGAATTTATGAACAACCTAAATTTTAAATGAATATTTTAATGTGACATTCCAATTGCAATGCGAGGCTTTGAAATCTTTTTTCTTTTTTTAAAGGAAAATACTAAAAAATAAAATTTCACTTAAACCCAAATTTTTTAAACTGGCTCTTTGTTTTTCACATTTTTGTTGCTGTTTGATGGCTTTGTTTTGAATATTTCAATTTTGCAAAATCTGAGTTTTAATTTCCCATTTTCAGACTTCCGCGTCTATTTATTCTTTAATTTCCTTGAAGGAAGTTGAGGAAACTCAATAGGGGAAGGGGAAAACTGTATGTAGGAAAAGGGCAACTGGAGTAGGAGGATAAGGAGCTGGCCGGGGGAAGGGGTTAACTGGAGGGAGTGTACTGGGGAGTAAAGAAGAATTTGAGGGCTTGGGGAGGGAATGATATTTGAATCCTTCTTTGTAGGGAGGGGGTGGGGAGATTTTAACCGTTAACCTCCTTTCTCATGAAAACGTAAAGTTAAATAGATAATGAATGTTAAGAACATAATAATTTAGATTTATTATCTCCAGGGCACCAGGTATAAGATGTCTCTTCATATTATGATTAATGGAGAAAGTTACTTTGCTGAAATAGATTATTTTAATTCCTTCTTGTCTATATGTTATCAGAGATTGATATCTACTATGGCCACTTTTAAATTTGAGAATCAGTACTTGATCCATAAATCAAAGTTATCCCTGCAGGGTGTGACTATTACGAGATATCGGAGAGGAATTGGATTAATCCATAGATCTGTATAAGATGGAGATCAATACTTGATCCCTCAATCAAAGATATCCCTGCAGGGTATGACTATTACGAGATATCGCAGAGGAATTGGATTAATCCATAGATCTGTATAAGATGGAGATCAATACTTGACCTTCAATCAAAGTTATCCCTGCAGGGTATGCCTATTACGAGATATCGGAGAGGAATTGGATTTATCCGTAGATCTGTATAAGATGGAGATCAATACTTGATCCCAAGATTCACAATACTCTAAAGTTCTAACTTCCGGAAATAAACGATGGAAATTTTAATTTTTTTTAATTCTTAAAAAAATGGAAATGATAAATCAATTTAAAATTTTACACCTTGAGTTATCATTTTGACAGCCCTAGAAGAACAGAAAAAATAAATTCTCAGAAATTACATGATTTTTTTCTTTTCTGGTAATCCAGTTTAAATTTTCTTGAATTTTACTTAACCTTCATTATTAACGTTATTTTCTTAAACATTTTCTAATTTGTTATGTTTAAATAGTTTGCTCTGTACATCAGATAATGGGTTCCGATAATCTCAATTCTGTTTTAAAGAAAATATAGGAATTGTGTCTGGGCTAAAGACCTGCAGTCCTGCACCAGATCTCTCAAAATCTGCAAAAAATTAGGACAACAACATTTTCGAAGTAGATTACAGATTAGAATACTTACTTTTAAATACAACATCAGGGTGAAAATATATAGGGAATAGAAAATTTGAGTTTCTGACAAGGACTCAATTCCTTTCTAAAAAGATTATTCAAATTCCATCCAACAGTTACGGCAGCAAACCCCTTGTACGTAGAAATCCGGATAGGGTTACCAATCGGAATTCTATAAGAAATGAAGCGCGGAGCGCTAAAGAAAAATGTTGGTATTTTTTCTCCATTGAACAAATTTTATAAACGATCATGCTGTGGTCAAGTGAGGGGGGAAATATGCTGAGGGGGGGGGGGGCGAAACTTAAAAACAAATAAAACTTTCTAAAAAATAATTTTACAAAGAAATATGACATGACAAATGAGATGTAATAAAAAAATTAACTATTAAAAAAACATAAAAGAAATATAAAGAAAGGAACTGAACAGTGAATCGCCTCAAACTCATGAAATTATAATCCCTATATTTTTGCAATCTTTAAATCTTCAATCTTTGACTATTTTTTAGTTAAACAAAATCTAAAGTATGAATATAAAAGGTTTTAATACAAAGTTTCCATGAAATAAAAAATTAAAGAAAAAAATGATTTAAGCATAAAAAAGTTTAAAAAATTAGTTATTACAAAAATTAAAATATAAAATAAAAACTACGTCAATCAAAATCTTAATTCTTTTTAAATGTAAACTTTTAAAACCTATCATCATAAAACAGATTCGTTTTGAATCTTTAATATTGCATGAAACAAAAATTTGCTTTAATTCTAACATTTTCAGACTTTGATGTTTATGTTTTCAAAACGAAATGAAATTTAAATATTCCCTTTGTGGTTTGTTCGAGGCGAATAGAAAAAGGGGAGCTATGTAGAATTTAATAATCCGTTTGGTGGTGGGGGGATCTTGCACGTTTTCATTCATATAAAATATTTCTTTTTCAAGAGAGATATGTAATAATTAGCAAAATTACCTTATCATTTTTTTTCTTATTGTATTTCCGGTTTACAATGGAATTATGGTACCTTTAATATCCTTTGTCTCAGCAAATATTTTGAAATAATTCTTGCAGATTTATGCCTCAGTTTCAAGACTAAAAAACGTAATTATCCTCCTCATCCCTAGGTCCTTCAAAAGTTAGAATAAAAAAATCTTGTAAATAGTGAAAAGGTTTATTTTATTCTCCAACTAACATTTCTCTGACAAAATTAATTATGATAAACACATTTAAAGATATTGATATGTACTTTGTAGACTATAGAGACACATTTTCTCTAAAACACTGGTTTCAGTTCATACATGAACAGTAAGGAATGTACTGCGAACAATAAAAGAGTTTACAAGTTATGTACATTTAGCAATACATTACCATATTGTCATGTATAGCATGGTTTAATGTTTTGTATAGTATAAACAAAAATTATATCACAAATATTTCAGAAATTGTCAAAGATTGGTTCGTTTAGTTTTTCGTAAAACTTGAATATCAATAATCTTAAAAGTGTAACTTCTAACAATTCGCTATGCAGGCTCGTATGAATAAGACTTATTTTGTTCCTTGATTTTATCAGTTTTATCTATGCATTGCTGTTTATCTTTAGTAACATACATTTTAAATAAATGATTTGCACTTATAGTGTTGATAATAATAATGTACATACATAATCTATGGGGGCTATAGCTCATTGTACAAAGATAAGGGTGTAAATGGAATAAAATTAGAATAGGCAATAAAGTACGACACAAATATTCTTAAATGTGTCGTTTATTTACTGGGTTTCCTGAACATAATCATATTGTTTACTGGGTTTCCTGAACATAATCATATGATCATTAACGGTGTTTTCTTGAATATAAACTTGACAATAGGAAGATGACTTTAGTGGCGTCTTTGATTTTTAATAATAACTCGCGGCATTCGTTCGTCAACCAAATTTAAATGCATGATTCTGAAACATTAAATTTTCATAGTCCTTATAGAATTTTCTTTAGATTTCAAAAATTTGGGTTTTCTTTAATAAATTAAAATCAGAGCGAATTCTTTATATCTCCGTTAATATTGACAGCACAAAAAAGGCAGCTCACATTTTGGAAATGCCAGGACTAGGAGAACTTTTTATTTATCGTTTTTAGTACTTTACTTCTAAAACTTGTAAAACTAACCTGCCATAGCCTGCAATGTGGCTGCAGGATCTCGTTGAAACATTGAATCTTCTGATTCACTTGACTTAGATAAACCAGATGGATTTCTTCTCCTGCTTCTAAAGTAATATGATCATAAAAAATCATAAATTGAGAATTAGAGAAATTAAAGGGACTGTAAGCGTAATTTCAAGTGACATTCTATTTTATAAGATGCATGTCAAGTTCACAACGGTTCCCTTTAAACCTTTGTCCGGACAACGCTGAGAAACCCTTATTTGTATTGCTGAAGATTGAGGGCCGGGAGACTTGAGATTACACTGTACACTGTACACTGTACCCTCCAAGCTAATGTACACTTGCGCGGTTTCTTGGCACTTAATTTCCCGCTATATAAATAAAAATATCTACGAAATTCTTGATCAAGCAAGCAAAGGTGGGTATTGTTGTAAATCGGACTTGACACTCTATAAATGGAAGGTCACTTGAAATTACGCTTACAGTCGACCTTTAAGAATAGTTTTTACTTTGCATTGATGATGTCAAGCATGGTTTCAAAATAGATGTATTTTAAGCATCTTTTAATTAACTATATTTTGTTTTGCTTTTAATCATTATAACAAGAAGAAATGAACGACATCAAATACTAATTCTATTAATTTTAGTTATTTTAAGGCCACTCGACAAGTAAGTAATTCTTACAATTTAGTTTAATTACAAAAATGTAATAAAAAAGAAAAGAAAATGTGAGCAGATTAGAGAAGTAAAAAAATCACAAAACATTAAGATAATGATAAAAATAATGACAACAGAAAATTAGGAATTCTAAGAATTATAAATTAAAAATAAATGAATTTAAAAAAAACTTTAAAATATGAAATCATATTATGACTAGTGATTTTTTTTAACTCGTGAAATAATTTACCCATGCAACTATGAACTTAGGTAAGTAAACCTCATATAATTATTAACTTATGAAATTATGATTTAAACTGAAAGTTATGAAATAATAAATGTAAAGGAATTGAGTTTTTGCAACAAACTCCAATTTTTTAAACCCTACATCTGTGCAACCCAATGTCATAGACCTTTGATATTTCAAACTATGAATTCTGTTAGATCAAATAGTATAAGCGTGAAATACCAAAGGTTTACACTATCAAGTTGCGAAGATAAAATTCGATTTTGTGGTAAGAACTCAATTCCTTTCGACATTAAAGGCTCATTTTAAGCTCATGAAACTATGAATTTATAAAGAAAAAATGAAGTTCTGAACTTATGAACTGATGCAGCTACAAACTAATGAATAATTACCCTTGTGGATTAAGTTCTGGGTTCTCCCAAGGATGATTATCAAATTGATCCGTGAAGAAAATATTTCCGGTAGAGGATCCTTTATCTAAACAACGTATTATAAAAATCCAAAGATGCACTTTTACTAAGCGTGGTGGTGGTGGTGGGGGGGGTGGTAGGCGTCGTGGTGGTGGTGGGGGTTGGTAGGCGTGGTGGTGGTGGTGGTGGGGTGTGGGTTAGGGAAGGGCATGTTTTCTACGATGTTAGGTACTTTCTGAAAGGATTGTTTCCTAGTGGCAATTTTCCAAGGGTATTTTCCCAAGCAGTAACTTCCCAAATCTGCAATTTTCTCAAGCGGTAACTTCCCAACTTTGTCCTAGCCGCAGCGCTCGGTCCCTAGCCCATCCTAGACACGGCGCTCGGCCCCAGATTGCTGCCTGCGGCACCTCAGAGGGACTAAATTAACCATTGGGAAATTGCACATTTGGGAAGTTGCCACTTGGTAAAGTACCTAACATCTTTTCTACTTGCCTTACACGAAATAAGATTGCAAATATCTACTCTCTTACAAGTCAAAACTGCGCAATATATCAAAAGTTACATCAATTTTCTATATTTGGCCTATTTACCTCATAAATACGTTTTTTTTCAGAAATATAAGGCATTTTGGGATTAGCTTTAGTTTTTAAAAACAAATTGGCAAATTATTGTCGAATTTTGTGCAAAAGCTTGTTACTAAACCCAGATTTGCAACGATTAAGTTGACTGTTTACGATGCAAGAAACGTCAATACCTTAAAATGAAGGCAACCAACGATGATTTTAAAACAAACAGTTGGCAGAGTACAAACATTTTTATTTAATTGAAGAAAATTACGGTATTTAGTAGCTTAAATGGTTTTTTATGAAATTGCTTTTTTATTTTATTTATATCTTTTTCTTAATCTTTCTTATCTTATTTGCTGGTGAAGAGTGGTTTAAAATACTTAAAGGGAATGTAAGCGTAATTTCAAGTGACCCTCCATGCAAAGATAGCAATTTCCGATTTACAAAGGTACTTTTGTAACTTTAATCTGATATGTGGCAGAAACTGTCGTTTTTCTGGCTTGAAAAGTGTTTATTTCTGTGAGTTTCTCCATTGCTTCTTATAAACAAGAAATGCGCAAGTCACACTTGAAATGGAGGATTGGAGGGTAACTTGAAAATATGCGATCAGCCATTTTAAGAGTAAATTTAGTTCTCGCGGCCACATGCACTTTTATATAGATAGTTCTAGGAATCCATCATTAAAAAGTATATTTTACGTAAAGTCCTAATCAGCTCTTCATGTAAAAAGTGTGGATTATCAAAAATTATTTAATGATTCCACAAAACTTTTTTTCCAGATGAGATCCTAATTAGTTCTGTAGTGCATATAATTAAATAGTGGATAATTGACTCGAAACACATTTTCTAGATGAGGTCCTTCTTAGTTCTGTAGTGCATATAATTAAACAATGGATAATTGACTCGAAACACATTTTCTAGATGAGGTCCTTCTTAGTTCTGTAGTGCATATAATCAAACAATGGATAATTGACTCGAAACATATTTTCAATAAAAAACATTCATTTTGTTTCATAGATATTTTAATAAATCAAAGATTACTTTTTTATAAAACTTTGCCTCTGTAAACCCTGAAAAATGTCATCTAATGGTTTAACCTAATGTAATCATTTTCATAGTTCTTTTTCTATAAAGTCTAATATCCAAGATAAGGCCTAACAAGTTGCAGTGAAAGAAATGAAAAAAAAAAAAATTTTCTCATTATTTTCAATTGTTGGTTAGGTTAGAATGAATTTACAATGCTCAAGAATGAAATGAAAAATGAAATAAAGGATTGCCAATCTTTAATACAAATATGTTCCCCCGTTTTTTAATTCTTTATTTCAAAACATGTTTAAGAAACCAAAATTTATGAATTGGAAAGGTCGATAAAATTACAAGCCCTGGTTCAAATTTTTCAGTAAAAGTTAATAGAAAAATGAATTTTATCTATCTTTTCGCAACATGCGCAATAATAGCGCAAAACTTATCTGTAAAAATTCAAAACTTATCTTGCTGCAAGCTTCAACAAATAATCATAATGGTATTGTCTCTATCTATATATAAATTTGGCTTGTCTGTTTGTCTGTCTGTTTGTTTGTTTGTTTGTTTGTATCCAATAAACGTCAAAACTACTGAACCGATCGGGCCCAAATTTTTTGTGGGACATCTAGGGACCCCAGGGAAGGTTTATGAAAAATCAAAATTTCAAATATTTGTCTCTATCAAAATTCGATCGTCATTAAATTTTTAAAAATTTTGAAAATCCGCGAAATTTTTTTTAAAAATCCGCGAATTATTTTTGTTTTGTTTTACGATGTACACAAAGAGAACATGTTCACAACTAATTTAGAAGATGGGCGCGGAGCGCCCTCTAAGGCTAGAAAGAAGGGCGCGAAGCGCCTTGAATTTCTAGTTGTTATAGATATCAGAAGAGAAATAAAATTGTGCATAGCATTGCACTAAAACTTACCGCATGTAAACCAATTTTTCTTAAATCATATTTTTTTTTATAATTGATTAATTAATAGTTCAACATTTTTGCAAAATCTTAAATATTTAAATTCATGAACAATCTCTTTAATTGTGCACTTTTTTCTTGCTAGAAGTGAGTACGCTGTAGTTTGCACAATGAAACCTTTCATTTTTTTTTTTTTCATTTTATCATTTGATGTTTTCTCTCTCTCTCTCTCTCTCTATCTATCTTCTTGTTACAAACTTATTGTAAAATTATTTTTCCAAGAAACTTTTCTTTTATGAACTTTTTCTTTGCCACTTGAAAGAATAATTTCTCGACAGAAAGAATTTAAGGAAAATTTTAATAATAAATTCTGTCAAAAACAATTTGGTTTGGAAAATAGTTAAACATTTACATCAACCATAAAAATAATGGGAACAAAATCAGGGTAGCGCCAAAAATAAGAATGTAAATACGAATTCGGCGAAACCGAATAAAAATTAATCATTGTAAAAATTGTCTCAACTTTAAACACATGAAGCATAGGGTTACCCACAAAGGATGAGACTTCAGAGACGACTGTACGGAATTTACACCGTCTGTTTTCGTATACTCATGCTGAGTAAATTGGTTTCTTCCTTAGCCAAATCAATAAATAAGCCAATTAAAAAAGCAAAAAAAGCAGAAGACAAAATTTAACCTTGAAATCGTCATATTTTAAGAGTAATAAGTATTCTTTACAGTATCATCCTTTGTGGGTAACCCTGTATAGGTAAATATCTTCAGAGAGCTTATATCTCACTTAAGAAACAATATAGTGTGATTTGTGAATGGTTTTAATGAAAAGAATGATAAGAGAACCATTAAATAACGAGACAAAAAAATTACCTAATCCTAAAATAACAAAATATTCTATTACCTAATCCTAAAATAACAAAACATCCTATTACCTAATCCTAAAATAACAAAACATCCTATTACCTAATCCTAAAATAACAAAACATCCTATTACCTAATCCTAAGATGGCGTCTCTAAACGGATTGTCTCTTGTTAACGCTGGCTCTTTGCTCCCATCTCTGTTGACTAGAGAATTAGGAATCTCTTTTTTTATTGGAGGATCTTTGCTCCTATCCCTTGTTAGAGTACTGTTCAACGAGGTTTCTCTCAAGGGTAGGTTTAATGAACTGTTTGTAAACAAACTAGAAATCTGGTTTCTAGATAAACTAGATTCTCTAGATCTTATTGTATCCCAGGAGGGATTGGATCCACTCTGTACACCATTGGGCAGTTCAGGTTCACCTTCTTCCTCGGAGGCGCCTTGTCTAGTATCGGAGGCTCCTGGTCTAGAATCGGTGGGATCTAAAGCAGTGGATCTGGCAGGTTCAGGTCTACCTAATCCTGCCTTGTCTCTTCTGGGCAACGACCCTAGTAATTAAGTGGATTAGTAAGGAATCAAACTACAATGGGATCCATCAAACAGTAGAATAGGAACACAAATACCAATTTTATTGTGTATTTAATGCTCTTAAACGGCAAATAGTTTTTCCAGAAGCTTGAAAAAAACAATGTATTAAGTAAAATGGATCTGTGTACACTGCACAACTGCCGTGTCATATGTAAATTGGACTTTTTAAAATTAGAACTAGAGTTTAAACTAGAGTCCTTAGCCTTAGCGCTTCTCCCCTGTACCCTGTCCTAGGCTAGGACCCTGTCCCCACCCTGTCCTAGCCATAGCACTTCTCCCCACCCTGTCCTTGTCTTAGCGTACCTCTCCACCCTGTCATTGTCTTAGCACTTCTCCCCACCCTGTCCTTGCCTTAGCACTTCTTCCAGCCCTGTCCTTGTCTTAGCGTACCTCTCCACCCTGTCCTTGTCTTAGCACTTCTCCCCAACCTGTCCTAGCCTTAGCAATTCTCCACACCCTGTCCTAGCCTTAGCCCTTCTCCACACCCTGTCCTAGCCTTAGCACTTCTCCCCACCCTGTCCTTGTCTTAGCGTTCCTCCCCACCCTGTCCTTGTCTTAGCGTTCCTCCCCACCCTTTCCTAGCCTTAGCACTTCTCCCTACCCTGTCCTAGCCATAGCACTTCTCCCTACCCTGTCATTGTCTTAGCGTTCCTCCCTGCCCTGTCCTTGTTTTAGCGTTCCTCCCCACCCTGTCCTTGTCTTAGCGTTCCTCCCTGCCCTGTCCTTGTTTTAGCGTTCCTCCCCACCCTGTCCTTGTCTTAGTGTTCCTCCCCACCCTGTCCTAGCCTAAGCGCTCCCCATGTTACCTGTTTGTGAAATGAATAAATCCTTTCTAGGTAAAGAATCCGTCCAGTTACCGCTTCCTCGGGGTACTAAAATACAAACATATTCTATTTCTTTGTAGAAGAGTAAAACAGAAAAAAACAAAGGAATTGAGCCTTGGCCACAAACTCTACTGTTCTAATCTTTATATATTTGTCGTAGACCTTAGATATTTCAAACTATAAATTCTTAAAGATCAAATAATCAAGTTTGAATTATCAAAGGTGTACACCTTTAAAGCCAGACAAAGAGGTGGAATCTTTAGTTTAAAACAGAAAACAAAACCAGACTAAAGAGGTGGAAATTTTAGTTTAAAACAGAAAACAAAGCCAGACTAAAGAGGTGTAATCTTTAGTTTAAAACAGAAAACAAAACCAGACTAAAGAGGTGGACATTTTAGTTTAAAACATAAAACAAAGCCAGGTTGAAGAAGTGAAATCATTAGTGTATACTAGAAAACAAAGAGGTTAAATCTTTAGTAAAGTTAAACGCATAATTAAAAGAGATAGAATTTGTTTGGAAATTGAAAATTTTCAGATGATTTTTTCTCTTTGAGTTTTGATTGGTTAGTGGTTACCCTTAAAAGAGATATTTAAAGGAAACCCAAGTGTAAACCCCTAGTTCCTAGACCGTAAACTGCCCCCCCCTCCCTCTAGTTCCTAGACCGTAAACTGCCGACTGTAATTCCATTTGTCCAACTGATTTAAAGAATTGTCGAGTGTGTATTTAAAGAATCCTGAACTCAAACCTTTCAATTCTTTCTCTCACAAAGGTTTAAAATGAATTACTCTTTCTACAACTCTACAACATTTAGAGTTAAAAATATATTTTTTACGAACAGAAAATTACAAATGATATGTTAAAAAATAAAGCTTGAAAAAAACTAAAACAAAATCTCAATTTCTCAATTTATAATTAAAAAGAATTGCTCTGTTTAAAAAATGACATGAAAATAAGAAAATTTAGATTTTACTCACAAAAAAGGATTTTTTTAATACAGTTATATATCTGAACAGATAAAACATTTCAACACATCTTCCAGGAATACTCGAATACATTAGAATAGGAATACAGGAATACAGGAATACAGGAATACAGGAATAGAGGAAAACAGGAATACAGGAATACAAGAATAGAGGAAAAGCGGAAAAAATGAATAGAGAAATAGAGGAACAGAGGAATTGAAGAATAGAGTAAAAGAGGAATAGAGGAATGCAGGAATACAGAAAGGAATGCAGGAATACAGAAATAGAGGAATAGAGGAAAAGAGGAATAGAGGAATAGAGGAATAGAGGAATAGAGGAATAGAGGAATGCAAAAACACAGAAATAGAGGAATAGATGAATATAGGAAAACAGGAATAAAGGAATATAGGATTAGAGGAATGCAGGAATACAGAAATAGAGGAATACAGGAATACAGGAATACAGGAATACAGATAAACAGGGATACAGAAATTCAGGAATACAATAATACAGGAATACAGGAATACAGGAATACAGAAATATAGGAATGCAGGAATACAGGAGTAAAGGAATATAGGATTAGAAGAATTCAGGAATACAGAAATAGAGGAATAGAGGAATGCATGAATAAAGAAATAGAGGAATAGAGGAATACAGGAATACAGGAATATAGTAATACAGGAATATAGGAATACAGGAATAAAGGAATATAGGATTAGAAGAATTCAGGAATACAGAAATAGAGGAATAGAGGAATGCATGAATACAGAAATAGAGGAATAGAGGAATACAGGAATACAGGAATCTAGGAATACAGGAATATAGGAATACAGGAATATAGGAATACAGGAATATAGGAATATAGGAATATAGGAATACAGGAATAGAGAAATGCATGAATTCAGGAATAAAGGAATAGAGAAATGCATGAATACAGAAATAGAGGAATAGAGGAATAGAGTAATAGAGGAATAGAGGAAAACAGGAATACAGGAATAAAGGAATACAGGAATACAAGAAAACAGGAATACAGGAATACAGGAAAACAGGAATACACGAATGCAGAAATACAGGATTTTTTTAATACAAGAATACGTGAATACAGAAATAAAGGAAAACAGGAATACAATTCAGGCTAGCATAGTTTGTGTGTACAATTATACAATTGTATTGTACACATGTTTTAATGGTACATTTTAAAGAATGCAACCCTCAAAGCAAAAATGTAATGAAAGGAAAGTCAATTGCAGTCGTGTATACTCTGCGTACATATTGAAACCAGTTCTCTTTGGGCGGAATTAGTAAACAATAATAGATGAATCAGTGTTCGTTTAGTATCCGAGGAGATTAAAAGCATTAAATTTTGATAATGTTGATAATTCACATAATAATTTCCTATGACCAGAATATTTCATTGATTTTTTATGTGAATGATGGATCCAATGTCAGGCTTCGACATCCGTCTTGTGTTTACATTAGCGCCCAGAGACAGTACACTGCAGTACTGAAGATGTGTACACTTCTGAAATGACTTTCCTTGCCTTACATCCTTGCCTCAAAGGGACCGTAAGTTTAACTTAAAGTGATCTTTCATGCAAAGAGAACAATGTCCGATTTACAACGGTAATCTTAAAAACTTTGTGTATTCGTCGAGTACAGAGGTTCATGTGTGTGTAAGATAAGTGTAAAAGGCTTGTATTCAGCTGAAAAAGCCAATGTGAGGTGCGCTGTAATTAGTTCTAGGTTTATCAAAATTCCTTGGAATTAGAGCTATCGCCAGGGATTTGACACAATTTCTGTCCGTTTCTGGGGAAAATGTATAGAGAAACCTTTAGGAAAAAATTATACATTCACGAAACCTCTCACTGCAACCAGAGAATGGGTTTCAAAATATGTGACGAATCTACCTGAAGCCTCTCGTCTGAATGGAATCCTTCCTTCCTTTCCCTCCCTTCTAGATAGAGTACTTGCTCGGAATACTTCTTCTGCAAATCATTATCCAACATTAGAAAATAGAAAAATAGAAAATTAGAAAATTAGAAAATTAGAAAATTAATTATTTCTTTTATTTTCATATTTTAAGGAACAACGCAGAATGATACCTCTATACAAATGTATATAAAAATATTAATTTAGCCATAAAGGGTACAAGAAACAATAAGTAATTCTATGATAATCTAATTTTAAATCATTTTTTTCAAATGAATTTTTCAAATGTCTAGTAAGGGATTGAATATTTTCAAATGTCTAATAAGGGATTGAATATTTTCAAATGTCTAATAAGGGATTGAATATTTTCAAATGTCTAATAAGGGATTGAATATTTTCAAATGTCTAATAAGGGATTGAATATTTTCAAATGTCTAATAAGGGATTGAATATTTTCAAATGTCTAATAAGGGATTGAATATTTTCTGTCGAATGCGCAGATATGTGAATTAAAAACTGCCAGCCATGAAAACTAGAAATTAATCTGTATTTTGCAAATATTTCAAAGTAGATTCTGACCCTCCACCCTTTTTGTCACTTTACATAAAATGTTTCAATGGAATTAAATATTTAATGAAAATGGAAAACTTGGTTTAAAAAAAAGTCCCCTTCCTAAACCCTCCTCAAATAAATGTATTTCAATTGCAGGAATAAAATTATGAATTTTATTTTATGCAAAAAGTATTCAATATTGCATATATTTTATCTATTAAAGCTTGGATTAATAAACAGCCCTCCCCTCCTCCTGGGCTTAAATACAATTCGGGATTTTAATTTTAAAACTGCAAATTTTAATCTAAAAAGTGGAATGTGTTTTTGTTGTAAATATTTAGTCCATATTTGGGTTTATTTTAACTATTTCTGTTTTTTACACGATTTAATAAAAATTCGACGGTAGGGTTAGTGGGGGGGGGGGGGGGGGGGGGGGGGGGGGAGGGAGTTCTAGAAGCCTTTGTGGACATTCACCCTGTTGTATTCTTTTACAATTTAGTTAGTTAGGAGTTTTAATTCATAAATCAATCAAACATATGCTAGAATTTCTGTTTGTGAAAATGGTAAAAGAATAGAGTCTTTGCCATAAAATCACATTTTCTAATCATACTTTGATAACCTGATGGTATAAACCTTTGATATTTCAAGTTTAGACTATTTGATCCAACATAATTCATAGTTTAAATATCTCAGGCCTACGACATTGGATATAGGGATTAGAAAATCAGAGTTTGTGACAAAGACTCAATTTCTTGCCAAACAGAAATTCTAGCATATGTTTGATTGATTTATGAATTCAAAATCCTACCTATAGGCCATAAGAAAAAAAGACTTTTTATTGATTAACATTTTTTTTTTCTTGCTTGCTTTGGGTAGGAGGGGGATTCGCTTTGAGAACTGGATAATTGATGTTCCTAAAGCTTGTTGTCCTGCACTGGTTGAGCTTCCTCGTTTCAGAGTAGAGGAACCATTTAGTCTGGTTCCACTTCCGTCTCGGGTTCTAAAAAAGTAATGTTTTGGATAATTCAAAAAATAAATAAAAGTATTAGTGTGTGCTTTATTTTCATAAATTTATTGTAAAAGTCTGTTTTTTTTTCTGATTAAAGCTTTTATCTATGTCTACCCATTTGTTCTTCTAAATAAAAATTTAGCTTGTCAAATTTTGTGTAGGACCTCACGTGACCCCAGGGAAGGTTTATGAATGATCAAAATTTTCAAAGTTTGTTTTTAAAAAGTTTTTTAGTTTTGTAAAATTTTGAAAATGCGCGAAAAAATATTATGAAATCCGCAAACTTTTTTTGTTTTTGTTTTATACTGTACAAAGAGAAGATACTCAGAGATAGAGCCACACTTAAAAGTTAAAATAGAAGATGGGTGCGAAACGCCCAATAGCCTAGTAATCTAAAAATTTGGAGAGCCATTTTTAAAGGTTTCATTAATGCATATTTAAAAAACTTTATTTTCTAAACTGGCCATAGAATACATAGACTTATAGAGCCATAATCAATTATAAAAGTTAGAATATACAAAACTCTAACGACGGAATCGGATCCAATTTAAAAATGTTACTCCACTTCTTGCTAATTAAAACTAAGCGAGTGTATATTCCCAAAATATCCCATGGGAAGGGTTTATTAACCTAGCTGGGACTGCAGGGGGAGTTTTCCCATTTTGTTTAACTTGTGGAGGGTTGATATATCCTCCATTCATCTTGTGAGGTAGAACAGGGGAATCCGTTGCCAGCAGAGATGCTGTCACAGCCTAGAACATTTAATATCAAAGAGGGTGTACGCGTGTAATTCAAATGACCCTTCATGTAAAGATGATAATGGCCGATTTACAACGATACCTTTGATACCTTTATCTGATCAATTATAGTTTCTAGGCTTAATGTAAAGATGATAATGGCCGATTTACAACGATACCTTTGATACCTTTATCTGATCAATTATAGTTTCTAGGCTTAATTCTGATAATTCTTATATTCTTATATCATTTATAAATGCGTAAGTCACAATCGGTTTTTAAATCATAAAAATTTATATCTGATTTATACTTGATCAGACAAGAAAATACGGGTATCGTTGTCAATCGGGCATTGCCATTTTTAAATGAAAGGTTAAATTTAAAATACGCTTACATTCCCTTTAAGCGGAAAAAATTAATATTACCACATCAATATGGCCTATACGTAATTTTTAAGAGCCTGAATGGTATATTTTAATCTTTAGTCAGAGCAAGATTGACGGATATATTTTTTTATCATCAAAAATTGATAATTTTTATCTGTGGTACTTGCAAATATATGAAGCAGAGTCCGAAACGGAAATTGATAGAGTTAATGTCTATTCAAGAAAGATAAGCTACGAGATTTTTTCTATTCAAAAACAGGTTAAAAGGTCATCTTTACACATCTTACCATGGTTAATATTATATTTTATAAATAACTTTTTGTTTTTGAGCTGCATTGTAAATTTGTAAATTTGTATGCATTAAACAGTTTTTACAACTTATGAAAAATAATTTAAACATTTGTTCAAGAAACAAAATGCAAATAAACAAACTCAAAAAGGAAATCAAGCTCATGGATGATTAATGAATAAATTTCTTTTATATTTTCACTAAAAATTCTTCAAATGATCAATTCATGAAGCATTTAAATGTTCAAATTAGTATGAATTGCGACACTTTAAAGGAGTTTAGAAAAAGAAGATACAGGGTGAGCCAAAAAACGTGAGAATGTAGAAAAGTGAAAATGTTCAAATCTTCATTGATCTTTCATATGGATTGATGGATAAACTTTGCACAAGCTGTGATCTAACGTTTTGTAAAACATGATAAGAGATATTTGGAAATTAGATAATTTTCCTCAAATTAAAAAAGTTGAAACTGTAGCAAAGTTATTGATCGCTTTATAAAAGGTGCAAAATAGAAAAACCACAATTTGGAAATAAAATCCAGACAGCTGGAGGAAAAAAGAACGAAAAATGGGAAAAACTGTTATTAAATGTTACAAATTAGACAACATCGTTTATATATTCTAATAAGTCCTCCAAAAAGAAAAGTTAATCTTAATAATTAGAAAAGAAAATTAATATAACAAATGGAATGTTATGATTTTCAAGAAAAATTACAGAAAAATTCCAGAAAAATACAACTCTCGGAAATTCCTAATTTTCTGTTGAAATAAAAGTTTGTACCTTTGTAGTTAGTGTTCCGGTTGGATTCCAGGATACGGCTCCGGGCTAGAAAACAAACACAATTAGTAAACAACAAGATCTAGTCACAACTAGGAATGGACACTTTCGGGTTTTTGGTTAAAATAATTTTTAAATCTTTAAAAACGATTGACTTAAAACCAAAAATTAAGAAACTGTGGAAAATTTCAAAACAGTAGTTTTTTTCATTTTAAATTCAAAAGTCATCTTAGATTTTTTTCAAAACGGTTTTTCGTTTTTTAAAATAAAAAAACGATCGTGGCAAAAATCAATCGTTTCGTTTTGAAACGAAAACTATTTCCAAAATGTACACTCAAAACGGAAAACAATGCTCAAAACTATGGCCATCCCTAGTTTCAACAAGAGTTTTGCAGAAACATTTTCATTGATATTGTACAGACAGCTACATGACAAATATTGCAGACATATTTTTGAGCTCATGAATATTCTTTAGCAAATAAAGTTTACAATGATAACAATTGAATTTCAATCTAACATTTTAAAATATAACTTTAGAGCTGATTTATTTGGTTGGTTTGGTTTTCAGGTAAAAAAAGAAAAAAACCTATTCGTTTTATAAGTTCCGTTTTTTTCTTTTAAGATTGTTTTTCAATCTTACTTTAACGAGATTAAATGAATTCAAAAATGCAAAAAAAAAAAAAAATTAAGAAAATTTTTAAATGTTTTTGAAAATGAATCGAGTCTTTGCCACAAACTCTGATTTTCTAATTTCAACATCTTTGCAACCCAAAGTCGTAGGTTTTATAAAGTTCTAATGGACAAACCTATTTCTTCTATTGTGATTAAGATATTTGTAAAAATGTTTAGAAAAAATAATGAAATACTCAATGTCATTAACAACATTTGAAAATGTTTTAAATTTATTTTAACAGAAAGAAATGTAAAATTCGCAAAACTGCTAATATGTTGAAATTTAAGATGAAAAGAGAAAGAGAAAAGAGAAGAAATTTGGGATATGTAAATCCCAATTAGTGAAATTTCCAGAATTTGAATAATCTTATATTTGATAGTTTATGATGAAGATAGTAAACTGATATCCTCCATCTATCCTCACCCCTCCCCCACACAATGGTGTATTTGTGTTTGTTTTTTTTTGGGGGGGGGGAGGTGACTGGTTTTTGGTCACAACATTCCTTTTAAAATGCCTTGTTTTTCATGATGAGAATAGGCTATTTAGATATATTCTGATAATCTTCTCATTTGAAACATGCTATCATTTGTAACTTGCATTGATTTAAACTGATTTCAATTTATAATTAAATTTTTTGTGTGACCTCACATAATCCCAGGGAAGGGTTATGGATGGAGTTCAGAAAATAAATATGATTTTTCAAAATTCACAAATATTTTTGATAAATCCGCAAAAATTTTATGTTATGGTTTAATTAATTTAAATTTGAAATTGCCTATGATAGAAATACATTAAAAGGAATCCCAATATCTTAACAACCCGATCTTGGAGACCTTAGATATTTTAAACTATGACTTCTGTTATATTAAACAATCAAATTTTTAAATATCTAAGGTTCCCAATATTTGGTTGTAGATATATAGGTATTAGAAAATTGGGATTTGTTGCAAAGACTCAATTCCTTTTAAAATAAAAATTGACCTTAAATAATGCCCTTAAGGCCTTCATATATATTTATAAGCTTATTCTACTTGCATATTACATGTATCCATGCAAGGATGTAATGCAAGGAAAGTTATTTCAGAAGTGTACGCATCTTTTGTACTGCAGTGTACTGTCTCTGGGCGGTAATGTAAACACAAGACGGATGTCGAAGCCTGGCATGGGATCCATATTTAACATAAAAATATTAATGAAATATTCTGGTCATAGGAAACTATTATGTGAATTATCAAAATTATCAAAATTTAATGCTGTTAACCTCCTCGGATACTAAACGAAAATTGAGCATCTATTCTTGTTTATAAATTCCTCCCAGAGAGAACTGGTTTCAATATGAACGCAGAGTATACGCGAAGCAATTAACTTTCCAACCTTGTATCCATGTATCATCTTTAAATCTTGATCAATACTTTGCTTTATTAAAAAACTTTGTTGTTGTATTTTTAAAATTAATTATTCATTAATTTTGCGCTATTTTTCGTGTAATTTTCAAGTCTTTTTTGGTGTTGGTGACAACTTTGCATATGCATAATAAGGGCAAGGGGTATATTTAATGAAATAGTTAAAATCTTGTTAGCTGAACCCTCTGGGGTGCGACTGGTTGAATTTGTTGCCTTTTGCTGAAAGTTTTGGTGAAAATTGATCTAAATGTTAAAGGTTGAAGTTTAAACTCCTCAAACTTTGTTAGTTGAAACTTCATTCAATTAATAAAATCGTCTTATAAACTCAAACAGAATTATTGATTAAAGAGATTGTTTCCAAATTAGACACATTAGATATTGAAAAAAGTATATATAGTTGTCTTTGTATTTAGATTTCATTTTTAACAATATCTTACAATTTTAAGAAATCATTTCTAATTCGACAATTTTTTCAAATGGAGGTTAATGTTTTGTAACTGTTTAGTTATTGTAGATTGTTTTTACATGATTATAAAATTGAAAAATATTTGAAATATTTGATTGTTATCTTCATGAAGGTTGTTATTAGGAAGGATTATACGGATAAGTAGATACAATTAAACCACCAAATACACAATTTAAAAAAAAATCAGTTGTTTTGTAAAAATAAATTAAACGTTAGAACAAAAATATTTTTTAACAATTTGAAATGTTTATTTTCTAATTACCTCTAGAATTTGTTTAAGTTTTCCGAGCTGGGATTCCAACTGTTTATTATGCTCTTCCAGGATCACCATCCGTCCTTCCAGTCTAAAGTAAACACAATTTAAATTTAAAATTCTACTTCTTTCAATATTTTTTCTTCCATTTTATCTCTTTCAAGCTTGAAACAATAAGAGCAAGAAGCAGTTAACAGTTTGTTAAAAGAATTGAGTCTTTGCCACAAACTTAAATTTTCTAATCCCTATATCTCTGCCACCTGAGTGCTTACTCCTTTGATATTTCAAACTAAGATTATTTCATCTTACAGAATTCATAGTTTGAAATATCTAAGGTCTACGACATTGGATTGCAGAGATATAGGTATGAGAAAATCAGAGTTTGTAGCAAAGACTTAATTCTTTATTTTTTGTTAATATCTGGAGGATATGAAGTTTTTATGGAATTGTGTCTTTACTGCAAAATCAAATTTTTAATTACTATATCTTATATTTCAAACTTAGATTTTTTGATCTGTAAAAATGCTTAGCTTGAAATATCAAATATCTACGACATTGGGCTGCAAAGATGTAGCACTTAAAAAATCTGAGTTTGTGGCAAAAACTCAGTTCTTTTCTGGAGGAAATTAAATTTGAAATTTAGCAATGTTTTGTTTTGATAATCAAAACTTTTAGAGTATTGCAACGAACTGTTGACAAATTAGAAAATTTTATTTCCAGAATTAATCTTAAACCTGAAAAAGTACTTGGTTTTTTATTATTTTAACTCGGTTTTTAAAAACAAGAAATGTCTTTCTTAAAATAATGGGGTTTGTATAACAAACCTTTTATCATACCCAAATCTTTTTTATTTTTGCAACCTGATGTCAAATCAAAGTTAGAAAAGTTTAAGGTTTAGACCCTCTGGTTGCTGAGATATGACGAATACAAAAAGTTAGAGTTTGTGTCGAGTAAATTCCATTATTTCTGAATATAAATTTCAAGAAAGATAATGATAATTTTATCTTTCCGGTTTTCTTGTTTCTTCCAATTTTTCACTTTGAACATGATTATATTGCGCCAGGAAAATGTGTTTGCAGATTTTCTGTATTTCTTTCTAGATTTGCAGAAACATGAAAATCAAACTTTATAGTTGACAAAAACAATGTAGTCATGTCGAGTTGGCCGTTTTGGTGCTCCAAGCTTCAAAACAAACAAGCAGAAAACATATTCAGCAATTTACTACTTAGTTCTTACAACTTTGGAACCTGAGACGGAATTTTATTAATGTCGCTGAGCGACCTACGGCAGGTTCAACTATGTCTCAAGGGCTCACTTGCTCAAATCTTGAATCACTGATTAAAAATTCAATTGAAAAATACGTGGTTGAACCGTCTCTACGCAGTTCAACGAATGTTTGAAATGTTGTCTAATCTCTTATACCAGGGGCGTATTCAGGAATTTGTCCAGGGGGGAGGGGGCTCAGCACCCGTTGGAGCCTGAAAACCCCCTGAAATCAATAGATTTAACTGGTCCTGAATACGTCTCTGTCTTATACCTTTGATAAATGAAACTGTGAACTCTGCGTTATGAAAAAGTCAAAGTTTTAAATATCAAAGATTTACACCACACTAGAAGGGACTTATTTATTTAGTGTACTCTCAAGAATTGCCTTATATAGTCTGTATGATGTACCGTATCGCCTGCTCTAGCCGTTTAAAAGTCGGCTAAGTACTGGAAATGACCTGGAGTGTACAGTGGCAACAAGTTGCGAAAATACATGAATCATAAAAAAAATTTAGTCTTCTGTTCCTTTACATTGAATGAAAAGATGTACATTTATATATTTTTATTCATCACCAAGCATGAAATATATATGTGTCCAAGACGAAAAACATAAATTTTTATTACCAAGTATTTTATATTCATTCGTTTTATAAAACAACACATTTGTGCAAAGTATGTTGTGAGAAAACATAATTTCTTTTTTCTTCAACCCTTTCCCAAATACAAAGACGGCTAATTAGAGAAATAATAAAATGAATTTAATAAAAGTATATTGTATGAAACACCTGTTTCTATTTAAGAATATGGAATTTCTGAATAATGAAAACCTGTAGCTAATACCTACTCCATAATAGTTATACTCGAGACGTATCTATTCAGGTCTATTCGTTACCAGGACTAACTCTTTGATTCTAAATGCCACACAGGCAATATCTCAACCAGGCTTAACTCTCTGGTCACATATAACACAGAGTCAAAAATCTCAATCAGACTTAACTCCCTAGTTCTAAAAGCCGCACAGGCAATTGAAATTGCTTCACAAGCAATTTCTCAACCAGGCTTAACTCCCCGGTTCTGAAGGTTACACAGTCCAAATCTCAACTCGTAAAATTCAACGAGGACCCAAGCTATCTTTCAAGCTATATTTGATCAGATTGCCACTTATCAAGGCAAGATCTCTACTCGTATAAGTCAACGAGGACCCAAGCTATCTCTCAAGCTATGTTTGATTCAATGCTAAATCAACTAGCAAGATCTGTGTTTGTAATATTTCAACGAGAACACAGACTACTTCTAATTCCGTAATCAAAGCAGAGTCTCAATCAACTAACTTTTTTCAAAAGCTTAGGTTACAAAGTTAACAGGAATTGACATAATTCAATTCCTACGATGTTATTGATATCATATGATTAAAACCATCATATTACGTATTTATCGCACAGTTTAAAGTTTAAGGTAGATATTTAAAGGGTTAAAGAAAATAGATAAGGCAGTTAATCTATCTCCATCCATAATTTATAGGGTAATTTATGAATTTCGCATGATTTAAGCTAATTATGTTAAGTATTCAATTAAAAAGCAGTTTCAGTGAATATTGTCATTATGTCTAAGTTTAGAACATTAAATCATTTGCAATGTACAACGTACTGCAAGTTTACAGAATATTATATTTACACGCTTTTTGCTACAAACCAACTAAATTCGGCAGTTTAGGAGGAAAGGGGGTATTTTATTACCACACCCCTTACCCCTTACAATGCAGGCTCTTAAAGCATATCAGCTTTAGCAAGAATATCTGTATCCAACCCCTGTTCCTATGCTCTATAAGCAAAGCAGCTTCAGCAATAATATCTATATTCAACCTGTTCCTATGCTCTATAAGCAAAGAAGCTTCAGCAAGAATATCTATATTCAACCTGTTCCTATGCTCTATAAGCATACCAGCTTCAGCAAGAATATCTATATCCAACCTGTTCCTATGGTCTATAAGCATACCAGCTTCAGCAAGAATATTTATATCCAACCTCTTCCTATTCTCTATAAACATAACAGATTCAGCAAGAATAACCTGTTTCTATGCTCTTTAAGCATAGCTGCTTCAGCAAGAATATCTATATCCAACCTGTTCCTATGGTCTATAAGCATACCAGCTTCAGCAAGAATATCTATATCCAACCTGTTCCTATGCTCTATAAGCATAGCAGCTTCAGAAAGAATATCTATATCCAACCTGGCTCTATGACATCTGCTCTAATTCCATTTGCTCTATGACCATTTGCTCTAGTTCCATTTGCTCTATTAACCATTTGCTCTATAACTCATAGATCACGACGTTTGCTCTATATGTCATCTGCTCTATACGTCAATTTATCTATGACATAACACGTCATTTGCTCTATAAACATTTTTATGACAGTGATGGCCAAATTGCTCTACTCAACATTTGCTCTATGAGTTAACACGTCATTTGCTCTATAAACGTATTTTACAAATATCTAATCATATTAAAACTATATTTTTACAATTTTACAATTTTACAATTCTTCCTACAGTTTCATTATTCCGCCAACTTCCTGGAGATAGTTTTGTTTGTCTGGTATTTGTGCATATTGTGAGACCAAGTTAAATATAGTTTTCACCACATATTAGGCTTTTTTACCCCTCTTATTATTGAGCAGTCTCTCTGTCATGATGAACTTTGAAGAACTGATTAAAACTGCAATTTGCGAATTTTCCAAAAAAAAATCCCGCATTTCATAGTCAAGTTACGCTTAGGAATTCCAATAAAAGCTATTTTATAGTGTATTTTTAGGTTATAGAGCAAATGACGTGTTTAGTCATAGAGCAAATGAGGTATAGAGCAGATTGAATATAGAGCAAATGACGTACAGAGCAAATGACTTGATAGATCAAATGGAACTAGAGCAAATGACCATAGAGCAAATGGAAATAGAGCAGATGTCTTAGCACCATCCAACCTGTTTCAATGCTCTATAAGTATAGCTGCTCCAGCAAGAATATCTATATCAAACCTGTTTCTATGCTCTCTAAGCATAGCAGCTTCAGCAAGTATATCTATATAAAACCTGTTCCTATGCTCTCTAAGCATAGCAGCTTCAGCAAGTATATCTATATCAAACCTGTTCCTATGCTCTGTAAGCATAGCAGCTTCAGCAAGTATATCTATATCAAACCTGTTCCTATGCTCTGTAAGCATAGCAGCTTCAGCAAGTTTATCTATATCCAACCTGTTTTTATGCTCTATAAGCAAAGCAGCTTCAGCAAGAATATCTATATACAACTTCTTCCTATGCTCTGTAAGCATACCAGCTTCCGCAAGTATATCTATATCAAACCTGCTCCTATGCTCCCTAAGAATAGCAGCTTCATCAAGTATTTCTATATCCAACTTCTTTCTATGCTCTCTAAGCATAGCAGCTTCAGCAAGTATATCTATATGAAACCTGTACCTATGATCTATAAGCATAGCAGCTTCAGCCAGTATATCTATATCAAACCTGTTCCTATGCTCTATAAGTATAACAGCTTCAGCAAGTATATCTATATCAAACCTGTTCCTATGCTCTGTAAGCATACCAGCTTCCGCAAGTATATCTATATCAAACCTGCTCCTATGCTCTATAAGCATAGCAGCTTCAGCATGTATATCTATATCAAACCTGTTCCTATGCTCTATAGGCATAGCAGCTAAAGCAAGTATATCTATATCCAACCTGTTCCTATGCTCTATAAGCATAGCAGCTTCAGCAAGTATATCTATATCCAACCTGTTCCTATGCTCTCTAAGCATAGCTGCTTCAGCAAGTATATCTATATCAAACCTGTTCCTATGCTCTATAGGCATAGCAGCTTCAGCAAGTATATCTATATCCAACCTGTTCCTATGCTCTCTAAGCATAGCTGCTTCAGCAAGTATATCTGCATCAGTTTGCTGGGACTCTTCTTCCACCTGAAACAGATCAAATCAAAAAATCAAAAGATTGATCAATAGAAATATGCCTGAACTTGCGAAAGCCGGTTCAACTAAATAAATTTCAATGATTTTGGGTATTTTGGTTTCGGGGGAGCTGTAATGAATACAAATCTTGAATTTACTGGAAAAAGATAAAATGTCTAAAAGGCATAGACAATATTTGTTTGACAGGACTTTTTTATGATTGTAGCAAATTTGATTCTTTTAAAAATAAGTCTTTTCACATTTAATCGTTCAGCATTGCTCCTTACTTCTTAGTTCAAGATTTGTCTACTATTCTAACACAATATTTGAAAGATACAATATCATTCTTAATAGGTCTGTAGGGGTAGTTACAAGTTATTTTACATCTATAGAGTCGCATGTCCAATTCACAAGAGTACCCTTTCAACCTTTGACTGATCAAATATGTTTGACTTAAAAAATCTTCAGAATTGCTTGTATTTGTTGAACGTACACTCCGATTTTTCGGTAATTTTCTCACAGTTATAGAGATAAACACACAGAGTTCTCTGCCCTCATTGATCAGCCAAAGCCCATAGATTTAAAGTAATTCAGGCATTTCCCCTTTGCATGGAAGGTAACTTGAAATTACAATTTCTATCGTTTTAATCATGATTTAGTGTTTTCATTAGATCCACTTTATTTTGTCTAAAATTGAAGAAGAATACCCCCTGTGGGCTGTAGTATGCGGGAAGATAATTATGTAAATGCATGTTAAGGAGTTCTATTTCTTTTCTAATTCAGTTTCTAAACATTTTCTTTCTTTAAAACTTTTGAATTCAATTATACTTTCAGTTCCCAAAAGTTTAAATTTTCGTAATTTTCTTTTTTATTTAAAAAATCATATTTTTTTCGTGGCCCAATAATGTAAAAATGGACGAAATAATTTTTCTATACTGACGGTTTCGACCGACGTACAGCTTAGGCAATAATTTCTTCTATCCAAAACTTGTCCAGTGTCCGCCCATCCTCACATTTAAGGTCTTTGGATTAGTGTTAAAGGGATTGTTCGTGAAAAATGAAAGGGGGTGTGGACTGATATCGATTGCAACTAATTTTACTTCTATTTTCTATCTTAAATTCAATTTAAGACTAATCATTCAAATATTATTACCTACAAATTTCGAATTCCATTCGATGCGTCCGTACATAGTTGATATATTTCATAATATTTCTTATTTTATACGATCCGAGTGTTAATTTTGAAAATATTCATTCCAGAAATTTCAAGTCAAAGACGACAGTTTCATATTTTTTTCAGGAAGGTTCAGCGCAATCCGTGAACCAAATATTTCAACGAAATATTAATTTAAAACAAAATAAAAAATATTAAAAAATATAATCTATATAGGTTTACTGTTTATGTAACAAACCAATAAAGGGTTCAAGGGATTCAGGGGATTGCTCGGAGATTACCTCATGCTGTGAGTTTCCAACAGTTTTTAGACTATTATATTCTTCTTTCAGGGTCTCATTTTCAACCTCCAGGCTCCTAAACAGTTTTCAGACTATTATATTCTTCTTTCAGGGTCTCATTTTCAACCTACAGGCTACTAAACAGTTTTTAGACTATTATATTCTTCTTTCAGGGTCTCATTTTTAACCTCCAGGCTCCTAAACAGTTTTTAGACTATTATATTCTTCTTTCAGGGTCTCATTTTAACCTCCAGGCTCCTATACAATTTTTAGACTATTATATTCTTCTTTCAGAGTCTCATTTTCAACCTCCAGGCTACTTAACAGTTTTTAGACTATTGTATTCTTCTTTCAGGATCTCATTTTCAACCTCCAGGCTCTAAACAGTTTTTAGACTATTATATTCTTCTTTCAGGGTCTCATTTTCAACCTCCAGGCTCCTAAACAGTTTTTAGACTATTATATTCTTCTTTCAGGGTCTCATTTTCAACCTCCAGACTACTAAGCAATTTTTAGACTATAATATTCTTCTTTCAGGGTCTCATTTTCAACCTCCAGGCTACTAAACAATTTTTAGACTATTATATTCTTCTTTCAGGGTCTCATTTTCAACCTCCAGACTACTAAGCAGTTTTTAGACAATTATATTCTTCTTTCAGGGTCTCATTTTCAACCTCCAGGCTACTAAACAATTTTTAGACTATTATATTCTTCTTTCAGGGTGTCATTTTCAACCTCCAGGCTCCTAAACAGCTGCTAAAACTTCCCTACAACAATTTTTTCTTTATTTTTCAGGCTTTCTTTAATAATTAAGTCAAGTTTTTAAAATCATAGACACCAATTACGGCAAAAGAATAGTGTTTTTTTTTTCCCATAAACTCCAAGTTTCTAATCCACATATTCTTCCAACCTAATGGTTTAAACCTTTGATAGTTTAAATTTAAATTATTTGATATAACAGACTTCATAGTTTTAAATATCTGAGGTCTACAATGTTGGCGTTGCAAAGATATATGGGAATTAGAAAATCAGAGTTTGTGGCAAAGACTCGATTCCTTTGCCCTTTCAAGAAATTCTTCTATTGCTGAACAACAAACATAATGCTCATTTTTATGTAAGAAAGTAAAATTTATAGCACTTTTTAAAAAATCAAATATTATTAAAGTCTACAAATTTAAAAGCAAAATTGTTAGAAATATTTAACTAATTTGTCTCGTTTAGGTAAAATGGAGTAGTATAAAGGGACTGTAAGCATAACTTTAAGTGTTCTCCATGCAAAGATGGCAATGTTGAAGTCACAACGGTGCTCTAGAAGCTTTTACCTGATCAAGTTTTTAAGATTAAAAACATTGTAATATAATTCATACTCAATGAAATAAAACTTTTAAGGGTACTGTTGTGAATCGGACATTTTCATCTTGACTTGAAATGACGCTTACAGTCCCTTTAAGACTGTGATTAAATGAATATAATTATAATTAGAGAAGTAATTGATATCAAGGGAACATATAAACTACTGCATTAGAAATAGTAAAGAGTATCAAAACATAAATGGGGACAGGTATAAAAATTACCTGATCATATTTTCAAGTTCTACCCTCTGGTCTGCATCTATATCTGCAGCAATCTGCATAGGACTCTCCGGGATACAGTCTCCAGGTCCACCACTACTATACAGGAGAATTATATAAAACCAATAGAAACCAAGCTTAGAATTAGACCAACACTGCTCAGAATTGTAAAACCAAGCTAAGAACATTCCCGTGGTTCTACCCAGTTTCCCAACCAAAAGTTGTGGTAGATCGGGGTTCATAAGACATACAAACAAACAGAGCACACTGATTTAACAACTTGGTTCTTGGCCGAGCAATCTGTTAATTTCACAATTTGAAGAAAAAAAAACATAAATTTAAAAGATTGCTGAAAAGTCCAAAATTAAAAAAATTTAATTAGATAAACCAATAGCATTTAGTCCTGGTTGCACAGGGTGAAAGATTACTACTTTTTATAATAGATATAAGAATTAACTTTAAATTTGACGAGAGTTTTATAGAACTAAATATTTAATTTCTTCAAAATTTTGAGAGTCGACATTAAATATCTATTTATACACTTTGTTGTCTGTTTTTCTGTTTGTTTGTGACTAATAAACGTCAAAACGGCTGAACCAATCGGACCCGAACTTTTTGTGGGACCTCACATGATCGATTTATGGATTGTTAGAATCAAAAAAATTTAATTTTTCAAAATAGAAGTAAAAATTAGATAAAAGGCAAAAATTAAAAGTTAAATCGAAGATAGGCGCGAAGAGCCCTAGAAGCCAAATTTAGATAATTTCAATGTTTTAACGAGTTATTAAATGTAATGATTTAAGAAAATTGTCTTTTTCTCAATACAAAGTCTTACAAAGGATGAGATGTTCATGAAAAATTACGTTAATCAGAACTCCATGATGTTTATTTTAAACTAATGTTTTTAATGCAAAAAATCTAATTTAATTTTTATACCTTTTATTTCTAAATTTGAATTTTGTTGTCAAATTCTTTTGATATTTCAGATTTAGAAATAATCTTTATTCTATGTTAAAATTAAATGGAACGTTGCAGTATAGAACAATTTCAAACTAGGTACCTATTAAACCTTGGACTGATCAAGGATATCGGAGTTAAAGCTATACCTAATCCGCCGCAATACTTTTTACATAGTATGCAAGCTACTTTACTCTTCCGAAGTCAAAGAAAATTAATATTTTTATTCGAATTTAAAAACCGCATTTGGACATTTAACATTAAACCTATTAAACCTTTTACTGATCAAGGATATCGGAGTAATAGCTATATTTCAAGCTAGGTACCTATTAAACCTTTGGCTGATCAAGGATATCCGAGTTATAGCTATATTTCAAGCTAGGTACCTATTAAACCTTTGGCTGATCAAGGATATCCGAGTTATAGCTATATTTCAAGCTAGGTACCTATTAAACCTTTGACTGATCAAGGATATCGGAGTAATAGCTATATCTAATCCCCCGCAACACAACATTGTATGCAAGCTTATTATTTAACATTTAACAATTAACATAAGGATGTTTGGGTATATATGTTAAGTCAAGAGGTTAAGTTACCGTTGTGATTAGAATATTACTCTTATTTTAAATATAGGGTTACTAGAAATTACGTCTACAGTTCCTTTAACGATTCATTCAACCCGTGACTTTTGATCGAAGCACGGATAAAAAAATTGATATTATTCAGAAAAGAAATCACTGCCTGCATTTCTCAGATTACAGTTAGCAGGGTAAAATATCCCTAAATTTATGATTTAATTTCATTGGAGGCTCAAAAGGTTTAAGAAATGTTTATTGTTAGCTCAAAGATTATTTTTAAATGTCAAACTGTCTGCAAACAAAGATTAATCCGATAGTGAACAAGACACCCTTGAACAAGGTAATTGAGACGCAGAATAGTGCAGCATTGGATATTTACCTAGTATTTGTAGCAAATGTAAAAACATATCGTATTTCGTTCCAAAAAATTAACAATGAATCAATACAGCACTTGCAAAAATATTTTGGGATTTAGGGTAACGAATACGATCGATCGTATGTTCAGCAAAAAAACTAGTTTTCTTCAAGCTCGTTCAATTGTTTTTAAATCGTTCATTTTTAAAAAACGATCATTTCTTTATTTCTCTGAACAATCCATTTCGTTAATCCATGTTTAGTTTTTTCTAAACGCCAATCTTTTTCTCCAAAAATTTTGTTCGTTCAAAATAGGATACCAAACTTTACGAGTAGGGATAGGCAGAGTTATTAAAAACGTTAAAAAAATTAAGTTTTTGTTTTGAAAATTTTAAAACAAACGATCCTTCGTTCTTAGATAAAACAACCAAAGTGCTATTTTTCAGCTTTTTAAACGACAAAAAAGCAAAAACGATTATTTTTGTAAAAATGTGTAAAGTGAAATGTTACAGAAGCAAGGTTTATAAATGTTGTCTTGAATATTGTTTTTTTTTGTGTGTGAATTTTTCTACTGTATAAGTGCCTTCTGACATCCTAACCATCAATATAAAATAAAATTACTTTTTACAAAACTATTTTTTTTTACATTTAAAAACGATCGATCGATTCTTTTTAATTTAATTTTCATAGTTAACAAACAAATTAAGTAATTTTTCACCCTTAATAGGTTTAGTGGTTTCTTCGATCTAGAGCACAGAAATTGCGTATGCTCTCTTATCCCCCCAACCTTGTAAACCCTATATGAAGCTTATACCTAATAGTAAACTCTAATATTAGTTAAGTTAAGAACTATAAAAGACCGGAACATTTGCCAACTTTGTAAAAAGTTGAAGAAACTTTGCTAAGTCTGTATAAAGACATTTATGCGGTATGTAATGTTGAGGAAGGGGGATATTATTAAGAAACTAGGAGAATAAATTTACTTAAAAAAAGTCAAAATAAAAAAAATATTTTATGTATTACTTCAGGGTTAGGTTAGGTTAAGAACATTTCTGGGCCGAGCGCTGAGGCTAGGACAGGCTAGTGTAAATAAACCAAAAAATAGTCTAAATGAAATTTTGCCCGTTTGTCACACTTTTTGACCCTATGTCGTTTTACCTTTTGTCGCGTTTTTGGACGTTTGTCGGTTAACCCTAGGTCGTTTTACCCCATGTCGTTTGACCATAGGTCGGTTGACCCTATTCGGTGAATAATTTTTATAAAATGATGATTTTACATTTAAATCTTTTTTAACTTAACGTTGATTAAGTATTTTTGAATGCTTTTTCTTAAAGGGAGTGTTCGCGAAAAATGAAAGGGGGTATAGGCTTAATGCAATAAAAAAGCGCTTTTGATCGCTACTAATCTTACTTCTATCTGTTGCGACTAAAAGGAGAAAATTGTTAAAGAAGTCTCATACCGAAGAACGTAGCGACCATACAAATTGAGAAAATTGCAACATACGGCTTAGACCGTAAAAAAATCAATTTAATTTCAAACAAATCATTCAGATATTACAATCTATAGTCATCGAATATCTTTCGCCACATTTATATATAGTTGATTTTTCATAATATGTTTTAATTGTTATGATCTGAGAGTTACTTATAAAAACATTTATTCCTGTTTCGAGGATTTTTGGTAATGAAGACGACATTTTCATATTTTCCAGGAATGTTCGAAAACAAGTTGTAAGCTAAGCTGCTAAATATTATTTTAAAAAACAAAATCAAAACTAGTATAAAATATCAAATATATACAAATGTGGCGAAATATAATCGATGACTATAGGTTGTAATATCTGAATGATTTGTTTGAAATTAAATTGATTTTTTTACATGTTGCAATTTTCTCAATTTGTATGGACGCCATGTTATTCGGTATGAGACGTTTTTAACAATTTTCTCCTTATAGACGCAACAGATAGAAGTTAGATTAGTAGCGATCAAAAGCGCTTTTTTATCGCATAAAGCATATACCCCCTTTCATTTTTTGCAGACACTCCCTTTAAAGGGACCACAAGAGTAGTTCAGAACATTGAGTCTCCGATGGAAGACGGCAACTTGATCTGACAAAGATGTCAAGGATACCGTTGTAAATAGGGCTTTTCATCTTTGCATGGAGGGTAACATGTCTGTATGTATTTAAATATAACTTCATCTTAGTCTTTAGTAGTGCTTCGTACACGTTTATTTATTTATTTATTTAATTTCTTTTGTTACCATGGTGAAGATATGGACCAGGTTTAAACCTAAGTTTCAAACTGTTTAAAGTTATAACTTTTACTGGCAAACTCATCCCATGATTTTCTTGAAATTATCCATAAAGGTCCCGACAGGACATTGGGACCCTGTCTTTAGAATATATAACATTGTACAATACATATATTGTATATGAAGGAAAACTCGAAATAGGGATACATCATCAGAGAGGATTGAAAATATTTCAAGCATTCTGGTAAAAATCTGGAGCGTTTAATATACACAATTCAAAGTGACCATTAGCTTTCATTCAAACAGGGGCTTCTCCGATCAAAACTGTACCCTTAAAGGGAGTGTTCGCGGAAAATGAAAAGGGGTATAGGCTTACGTCGAAAAATATTCGATGGTGATTGTTATTGATCCTACTTCAGTCTATTGCGTCAATAAGGAGAAAATTGTTAAAACGACTTATACCGAAGAACGTAGCGTTAGCGTCCATACAAATTCAGAAAGTTGAAATTTCATAATATTTTTGAATTTTTTAAAAATTAATATTTCGCTTTTAACGACGGGTGCTGGATTTTTGAACATTCCTGGAAAATATGAAAATGTCGTCTACAGTATCAAAAATCCTCAAAACAGGAATGAATGTTTTCAAAAGTAACTTTTGGATCATAAAAGTTAAAAAATATTATGAGATATCAACTATTTACGAATGCGTCGAAAAATAATCGATAATTATAGGTTGTAATATCTGAATGATTTGTTTGGAATTAAATTGATTTTTTACGATCCGAGTCGAATATTGCAATTTTCTTCAATATGAGTTGTTTTTAACAATTTTATCCTTATAGACGCAACAGATTGAATTAAGATTAGTAGCTATCACCATCGAATATTTTTCGACTCAAGCCTTTAAGAGTGTCGCTACGAATTGGCCTTTGTGTTTCTCTTGCTAACACAAATTTTTGTAAAATTTTAAATGACCGACCTTGATGTTAGAGCATAGAACTCTATTTTATGCAAAACACTATTTTTATATTTTTAAATATTATTTATATAAACTCGACATGATGATCAGAAATACAAATATTGCAAAGTTAAGTTAAAATAAAAATTTAGTTTCCATGGATTTAGAATTTATAGAAAATCTTGTTTTCTGTTATTTATCAAAACTTGAAATATGTTTACACACATTTATATCTGGGATAAAAAGTCTGTAGTTTTGCTGACAAGGGACAAGCGACAAAACAAGAAGATAATATGTGCCGGAAAATTCATATTGTCAAAGAATAACTAAAAGTAAAGGATTACATTACGTTTTATAACATGAGCTCATGGGAACTAAAATTATTGTAAACGGAATCGTATACGGGGGNTAACGGAACTCAGCCGCCTCCACGCCTACCCCCTTGATCAGTGAATATATGGTTTAATGGAGTTTTCAGGCCAAAACGGGTGCAGAGCCCCCACCCCTCATAAAATAAAATAAAATGAGCCCTTCAGAGCAAATTGCTCCAGACTGTAAACAAACAACATTTTGGAACAATGATAGCTCAGGCCCGACCCTCCTTTCCTGCTCAAGAATATTTTTTACAACCTTTGTTATTGTTTGACGTCATATTTAATAAGTAAATATCTTAATACATCTGTTCTTTCATCAGTGACTAATGGTAAAATTGAGGTTGTCTACTCTTGTTTTAAAATAAAATAATAGTTTTTATCTTTTAATAAAACACAGTTCTTTAATATTACATTTGTCTTAAATTAATGAAAATGAACTTTGCCACAAACTCAAATTTTCTAATCCCCATATCTTTGCAACCCGATGTCGTAATTCTCTGATATTTCAAACTATGAAGAGATCAAAACCTCTAAGCTTAAAATATCCCAGGTTGACCCCATCCGGTTGCAAAGAGTTTGTTGGAAAAATTCAATTCCTTTTTATTAATTTAGTACAAATGTAATGTATAAAAACAAAGTTGCGTAAAAGATGAAAAACATTCTTTTATTTCAAAAAAAATAACATTTTACGCACAATCCCTTAAATCTTACCTAAGTTTGAGGCAGTAGACAGCTATGAGTGAGTGCTCGTCTTGTCTAAAAAATATTGAAATATTGAATAAAGTGTTTGGGTTGAAATGATGGAGTTTCATCTGATAGATTCAAGGATTAGATCTCATTGTGAACTCATCAGGCATTTAATCCTAGTCTATCCGATACATCACGCTTGGAAACTCACCATTCAAAATATCCGATAAAACACATTTGAATACTCACTTTTCAAAATATCCAATACATCACGTTTGGATACTTACTATCTAAAATATCCAATAAAAAGCGTTTGGATACTCACAATTCAAAAATCAGCTTCACCATGATAGGATACTCACCATTCAAAGCATAAATTATAATATGTATGAACACTTACTATCATAAATATTTAGAATTTTATTTTGTACATCTTAAAAGGCTTTTCTAAGGTATTCCAAGTGATCCTTATACTGAAGAGTAGCATGCCTTAATCATTAATCTTTTCTCCGTAATAATCTAACAGATATCGCTGTTTTTCTGCGTAATAATCTAACAGATATCGCTGTTTTTCTGTCTCACCATCAACTAAACCTTAGGTGCGTTCTTGCAGTAAATATGCAGTACACTGAGATATATTAGCGTTTAGAAGAGAGCTATCTTAAAACGTGTCAGTGGCAAATTCCATCATTTCCTCTCTTCGGCATAAATCCAAAAACCGATTTTAAAGAGAATCCACACTTATGGAAGAAAAAAATTTCAGAGAGAAAAAGTAGATCAGACCTTACAAACGTTTAAAGGGTACAATTGTGAATCAAATATGGAACTCTGCAAATAAAGAGTCCCTTGAAATTACGTTTACAGTTCCTTTAAATTTTCTGCCANGGGGGGGGGGTTAATATATAACCGATAATGCGAAGCAACTCCCCCTTTTCCAAGGTTCCCTGGTCCAAGAACCTTTTAAAGAATATCATTTGTAGAATTATTTATATAAAGATGTCAGCGGTAACATATCTTCCCTGAAATGTGTATAGAACCGGTTTTTTGCTCAGCTCACACAAGAATGTATCAAAATATTATTAGATCCAGGCAAACATTGTTCTTTTTTGGAAAACAAAAATTCCAATTTTAAAAATAATATTTCAATCAGTCTTTTCTTCAAAACTTTTCATTTTATGTTAATTTGTTATTTATGTCAAATGGTTTTAAAAATTCATTGAAATTTTATCATTTAGGGTCTATCTAATATCCTTGAATTAACTAAAATTAATAACATCTGTAAAAAGAACCGGGGTTTTATTTTCCAAAACGTCTGTTTCACGTCAAACTCAATCAAATTGCGCGTACGATCGAAATCTTGTATTTTTTCATTTATAGCCCTTAGCTATAAAGCTATTTAGAGAAGAACCAAAATAGTTTGAAGTTCTTATAAAAACAAACTAGAAAAGCTAAAGGGTCACAAAGTCGTGATGGAAAAGTCGCATAAAATTGACATTATCCTTCTGTATAGTTTGGGTTGGTGTGTCCATCCCTAGTCCATATTAAAGGAGTACAATTGAAGAAAAGATCTATCTTATCTTCAAGAAAGGCTGAACAAGAAAAGCGAAGAGAGGGAGATCTATTTTTTAATCAACGCACACACACTTCAAGGAAAATAAATTATCAAATTTTACAAAACTAAGCTTTCGAGTGATGTGCATAATAAAACAATAATAAAAAATATTTCTTCTGTTTTTTTCGTGGATTTATCAAATTTTACGAAAATCAAAACGTTTTGAAGGTTAATTTTTTAATCCTGACCATTCCTTAACCTTTCCTGGGGTCAAGTGAGGTCCTAAAACAAATTTGGCCGGATCGGTTTAGCCGTTTCAACTTTTATTGGATACAAACACACCACAAACAAACAAACAAGCAGTTTATAAAGATTTAAAGGGGCGCAACTGGAGTGTTTATCTAAGGGGGGGGGGTTTAAGATTTTCACACTTTATAAAAGACTACAATGGATAACTTTGGTGGGATTCAGTATTAGAACTAAACTGTATAATTAATAAAAGTTAATGGTAGCAAAATAAATATTTTTTGATAAGTTCATTGAAAGCAAATTATTTTTTATAATAGATTTTGTTAAATATGTGATCTTTCTCAAAAAGACTTTTAAAATGTCATTATTTGGAAAAAATTCTTTTAATTTAGTTTATATGAAAGTTTAAGAGATTTATTGTGATTAGATTCTTCGTTTTAGTAATTTTATAATACACTTGGAGACATTGCCGCTTACAGGGTTACATAAAATCCTTTTACTACATTTTCTACATTCTTTTTATATTAGTTTTTTTTATACTTTTAGGCTGTAAGGTTTTACACGAACGTCGTAGGTAGGAAAATGTGTTTAATTTTCAAAATAGTTTTAGCTTAGATAACATGAGAATAAAAGTTAAACTTTTCGTCCTTATTGAGACGCTTCAAAGTTGACCCTGTCTTAAAATTGATAAGACTTATTTAGGTAGGCTGAATCTATGGGCCAATAAGAGCACCTGATCACAGTACACAAATATATCAATATAGCAGTATAAGAGCACCTGATCACAGTACACAAATAAATCAATATAGCAGTATAAGAGCACCTGATCACAGTACACAAATATATCAATATAGTTTGGCTACGCTCAATAATGCACGTCGAGGTTTAAAGAAATACTTTATTGACTAAACATTTAAACTCAAAATATCTTAATAGAAAACATATATCAAGGTGACGTGGCAGGAATAGAATGTTCATCTTGCCGCGTCCGAATATCCGGCTTCAGCCTCTTCATCTTGAGTCGTCTTCCGCCACAGTACTCCCCCCAAGAAGGCAAGGCGGAGTCACGGCGGAGCAAGGGCTTCTTTCCTGACTTGTCTGTGTGGGTTCCTTCTTGGAATAATTATAGGTTGAGCTAGGAACACAACAGACTTCTTCTTGGAGGCGGATGGTTTCGCGGCGGATGNTATATCACTTCATCTGCATAATATAGAGGATATTGGGTAATATTACAAGACTGAAACTAGATATTAGATGTTTAAAGAAATATATATATCTATATCACTTCATCTGCATAATATAGAGGATATTGGGTAATATTACAAGACTGAAACTAGATATTAGATGTTTAAAGAAATATATAAATATATATCACTTCATCTGCATAATATAGAGGATATTGGGTAATATTACAAGACTGAAATTAGATATTAGATGTTAGGTGTTTAAAGAAATATATATATTTCTTGTGTGTTGGAAACCCATAATCTAGATAGCTTGATCTGTTTGATTTCTTAATTTTTTTAAACCCTGCCTTGTTCCCTCACTTGTTCAATACAAAATTCCCTGCCTTTTGATTGGTTGAATTTAGACACCGCACTTGATATAGAATTAAGATTAAATTAATATGTAGACTAAAAAAGATTGAGGTCCTTGCTTGATCTCGTTATCCACGATTAAAGAATTCCAACCTCAGTTCGTATGGTTATCTAAATTATATCAATAATTTTGTAAAATCCAATGATGTTTCACCAAAAATGTTCGATGCTTTATCACCCTGGTCCCGGTCATTAACAAAATTTCAAAATTAGGTTCAGGATTTATAAAGATTTCCGTAAAAAAGGAAAAGGGTTCTGAACCATAAACATTTTATTGATGAACGAGTTATTAAATTATTTTTATAAAAATTGTGTTTAAAGATTCTGTTGACTGTATCTAATATGTCTAATATGTCTAAATTATATTTAATATGTCTAATATGTCCTATTCAAATCCTATCGATGAGTATTGGAAATCCAACCTTTAACTTAGTTGAGCTACTAAGCTTTGAGCTTTGATTTTACCGCTCTAACTTACTATGATTATCTGTGTCCCTTCATTGTAAAGCACCTGTTAGCTTTGTCTTTTTAGAAGAAAGTAACAAAATTCTCATAGATTTTTGCTTGAGAGCTTGCAACTTTTAAATCACAGTGTGTGTAAGATAGGGTTTCTCAATACAAATGTATGAAACCTTTTTTTTACAAGGTCGAGTTCTTAATACGTTCAAATATAGCTTTAAAAAATAACTATCTTTTATCGTTGATATCAACATACGATAGGTGATAAGGGTGATCTACTTTTAAATCTACTTACATCAGAGGTTATCTACCATTAAATCAATTTACATGAGGGGTGATCTGCCATATAATCTACTAACATGAGAGGTGATCTACCATTAAATCTACTAACATGAGGGGTGATCTACCATTAAATCTACTAACATGAGGGGTGATCTACCATTAAATCTACTTACATGAGGGATGATCTACCATTAAATCTACTTACATGAGGGGTGCACCACTGCTTAGTCTCGTTGGTTCCGAATGTTGAAGAGGGGTGACTTGTCTTGATGTAGAATCCTCGCTACCAGATCGGACCTAATTTTCAAACAATAATATTTATATTTACATATATTCATCAGACTTATATATATAGGCTGAGTAAATAATATGGTTAGAGGCGTCTGGTGAAAAAATGTACTTTTATTATGCAACTCTCCTGTGTCGCAGTTTTTCAATATTTTTTGGAATTTTTTTTGGCCTAAACAAATCCGCGAACATTTTTTTCCCTCAAAATCAAAAGTTCAGAAAATCAAATTCCAAAATTTTATAAATATTAAATCACAGAATGATAGAAAATTTGCAAAATTGTAATAAGAAAATTCGCAATTTTCAGTTATGGTCTAATCTTTCAGGAAAAGTTGTTTTTTAAAGGCTCCTCAGTTTTCAAATAAACAGCGTATATCTATAACTTTAGAATAAACTCAGAAGAAAGGAACTAGAAGATGTAAAGATCACATTATTCAAGATTTTCAAGCAAAATTGCCTGGAATCCGTTCTCCTTCAACCAATCAAATTTATTTTACAATCTTCCAAGTTTTTAAACCAATATTTATAAAATTTTCGAATATGATAGAAATAATAAATAAACACATTTTTGCTTTTCTAAACTTTTGATTTTGAGAGCAAAAAAATTTCCAAAAATATTGAAAAATTACCATACAAGAGAGCTGCACAAAAATAAGGTACAATTTTGCACTAGACGCCACAAATCACACTTTTTTACTCACAATGTTTATACATATATATCCAAGGTACTAATGCAAGGAAAGGTATTTCAGAGGTTTACGCTTTTTGTACTGCAGTGTACTGTCTTTGGGCGGAAAAGTAAACACAAGACGGATGTCACAGCCTGACATGGAATCAATTTTCACAAAAATAATCTATTAAATATTCTGTTCTTGGGAAACTATTATGTGAATTTTCAAAATTATCAAAATAAATGCTTTTAACCTCCTCGGATACTAGACGGACACTGATGCATCTACTCTTATTTAAAAATTCCGCCCAGAGAGAAGTGGTTTCAATATGTACGCAGGGTGTACGCGACCGCAATTAACTTTTCTTGCATTAGTACCTTGTATATATCTATATGTTTAGCAGAAAGTTGAAAGATATGTTCAAATTTATGTTAATTTTCAAAATTAAATTGCACATTGTATCATGTCTGAACTAATTAATATTTCAAAGTGAAAGCTCTTTTTTAATTAACTAGAAATTATTTCTTCTTGCTGACATTCTAATTCTTAAAGTGAAATTCATTTTAATAAATTTACATTATGCATTAAACCTGTGACATAAGCAAGCAGTAAGTTCTATTTTGCACAGATTCGTAAAATGTTTGCAAATATTGTAATGTTTTTATTAGTTTGTTTACAGTTTGGGTGTACCTAATTATGCCTGTATGCATAATTAGGTATATATGGTCTATCGTATTCATTGGTTGTACATAGTGTACATGTATTGTACATAGTAGACATGTATTGCATATATATATTGTAAATATATTGCATATTATATTGTACATGTATTTTGCAAATATTTTGTATATGTATTGCACATAATGTACATGTATTGCAAATATTGTAAATGTATTGCACATATTGTATGTGTATTGCACATATTGTACATGTATTAAACATATTGTACATGTATTGCACAATTGTATATGCATTGGAAATATTGTACATGTATTTCACGTATTGTACATGCATTACACATAGTTTATACGTAATGCACATAGTTTACATATATTGTACATAGTGTAGATATATTGTACATAGTGTACATATTTTGTACACAATATACATACTTACATCTGAATTATGTACATTATTAGGTAGGATATCTAATCTATCATATACATTTGTTTTACAGTTAAACTGTGTACACAGTGTACAAGTATTGTACATACTTACATCTGACCCAGGTACATTATTAGGTAGGATATCTAATCTATCATATACATTTGTTGTACAGTTACACTGTGTACATAGTGTACATGTATTGTACATACTTACATCTGAATCAGGTACATTATTAGGTAGGATATCTAATCTATCATAAACTGGTTGTCTGTATCTTCCAGGAGATAAGCTTGGACTCTCTACACCAGGTTCTGATTCAGCTGGAAAAATAATATTCAACATTTTACCATGAAAAAAAAACAAAAGCTTTTTTCAATATCTTTCATTTTTTTCAAATTATCTTCAAAATATTTAACTAATAAAAGAATACTTTTTTTAGTTTATAAAATCAAAATCACCATACTTGATTTTTTTAGTGAGGAATCTTTTTTATAAGAAGGTAAATTTTTCCTGCAAATCTCTAATGTATTTATAAACGATGTAATCTATTTTTGTAACAATTATATATTGTAATTAATCTTATTTATTCTGATTGTTTACCAGATTGAACATGGGTGGGAGCAAAGGGACTGTTTACCAGATTGAACTTGGGTGGGAGCAAAGGGTTTGTTTACCAGATTGAACTTGGGTGGGAGCAAAGGGACTGTTTACCAGATTGAACTTGGCTGGGAGCAAAGGGACTGTTTACCAGATTGAACTTGGGTGGGAGCAAAGGGACTATTTACCAGATTGTACTGAGAGGTATCTAAGGTTCTTTCCCAAAGGCATTCTCCCAAGGGCGACTTCCCAGGTGACAATTTCCCAAGTGGTAACTTCCCAAATGTGTAATTTTTTAAAGCGGCAACTCTCCAAAGGTGAGGTTAGACCCTCTGAGGGGGTCGATTGCTGAGGCTACGCCGGATGGGCCAGGGGGCCAGCGCCATGACTAGAACAGGCTGGGATCCGAGTGCAAAGACTAGGACTGAGTTGGGAAGTTGCCGCCTGGGAAATTGCACATTTGTCAAGTGGCCACTTGGGAAAATACCCTTGGGAAGTTGCACCTTGGGAAAGTACCTAACATCTCCAAGTGATTGTTTACCAGATTGTACTAGGAGTAACTAAGGGATTGTTTATCAGATTGTACTGGGAGGTAACTAAGGGACTGTTTACCAGATTGTAGTGGCAGGTATATAAGATATTGTTTACCAGATTGTACTGGAAGGTATCAAAGATATTGTTTACCAGAGGTATCTAAGGGACTGTTTACCAGATTGTACTGGAAGGTATCAAAGATATTGTTTACCAGATTGTACTGGAAGGTATCAAAGATATTGTTTACCAGAATGTACTGGAAGGTATCTAAGGGACTGTTTACCAGATTGTACTGGAAGGTATCAAAGATATTGTTTGCCAGATTGTACTGGAAGGTATCTAATATATTGTTTACAAGATTATACTGGAAGGTATCTGAGGGATTGTTTACAAGATTACACTGGAAGGTATCTAAGGGATTGTTTACCAGATTGTACTGGAAGGTATCTAAGGGACTGTTTACCAGATTGTACTGGAAGGTATCGAAGGTATCTAAGGGACTGTTTACCAGATTGTACTGGGAGGTATCTAAGGGATTGTTTACCAGATTGTACTGGAAGGTATCTAAGGGATTGTTTACCAGATTGTACTGGGAGGTATATAATATATTGTTTACAAGATTATACTGGAAGGTAACTAAGGGATTGCTTACCAGATTGTACTGGAAGGTATCAAAGATATTGTTTACCAGAATATACTGGAAGGTATCTAAGGGACTGTTTACCAGATTGTACTGGAAGGTATCAAAGATATTGTTTACCAGAATGTACTGGACTAGATATTA